CGACCACGAGTCTCAAGTCCTTCTCTCTTGTCAGCCACTTCCAGGGTGCCATGCATCTTTGTCCTTCGTGCCAATAATTTATTATGGAATTAAGTGTATTGCATAGGAATCGTGCCAGTAATGCTTTGCCAGTATATGTACAACACTTTGTTAATTAAAAGTATTAGGCAATATAGACTCCATTGTTGGAAATTAAGCAGTTTAATCATGAAGAGGATTGAATATCATAGTTAAAATAATAGCTTTTATCAAACACCAAGGTGGGCGCCCAGCATGAGACACATTTCCTCTCTAAGAAGTAAATCACTGCTCATGTTCTCCCTTCCCAGCACAGTGTGTGGCACTTAGAAGGTGGAGCCCAGGGGAGGCAGGGAAAGGAAAAAGGGCCCAAATTTGGGGTTTGCCATCCTCAGTCCACTCCAACCCTGCCTGGAGTGGCTTTTGATAGCAGGAGCCCTGAGTGCAGGCTGGAGGCTTGTGCGTTTCTGAGCATTGTCTGCTGCAGTAAATCCAGGCCTGAAGGGGTCAGGGTGTTGAAAACATCCCTCACCCACGCTGTCGTGGTGGGCTGATGTCCCCCAGCCCCATTTCCCTCCTTTGTATGTCCTTCTCCTTACCCAGTAATCATGGCCTTTAAATTGGGAATAGTGGGATTTTTTTTTCACTCTAAGACGAAAAGATCAATTTGCTCTCTTCATTTAAAAAAAAAAAAATAATGATTTATTCTTCTTTTATTTCCCTCTCATAAATCAACGCTGGCCAAGGCTGCAGAAGGGCAGGCTCTGGAAAGAATAAAACGCTGAAGCTTGGGGATGTAAATAAAAACTGCATCCCAAACAGTTTCCAGGCATCCTCTGGAGCCAAAATTTCATCTCAAAGAAAAATAAGGGGATGGCATAGGTTCAAGGCAGCAATAAGCTCCCAAGCTGAGGCATTGCGTTGCCTACATGAGGAGTCAGCATCGGACCCGCTGGTGCTGGGTTGGCTTTGGAAGCCCACCTTGCTGGGGTTGTGAAGTCTATTTCCTTTGTTTGTTTGTGGGATTATTCCTTTCTCTTGGGTAGGAGCAGAGCACAGAGGGACTGGAGGAGGTTTAATCCCCAAGACAAGAGGAAACCTTCAAAAAGGTTAATTGCTGGGCTTTGCATTTTGTCGAGTGCAGCTGCTCAGGTTACAGCAGCAATGCCATCTGCTCGGCGCTGCGCTGCCCTGCATAATTCACCAGCTTGCCGTGTTGGTGTTCCAGGAGCCATTCATGAGGAAGTCACCTTTAGGCAGAGCTCAGGTGACGGTTACCCGACACCTCCTGGCTGACTTCTGCTCCCCTGTCCTTTTGCCCTCGTGGTTCCTATCCCCAAGAGGAAGGGCAGGATGCTGCTGGGTGGTCTGAACCCAGCATCCCCCTGCAATGTCCCCATCCCCAGCCTGGCCCCTGCTCAAGCATCCCCTCCTCTCTGCAGCCCCGGCTCAGGGTTGGGTGCCGCTCCCTGCCCAGCATTCTCCTTGCCCTGTGCACGGGGGTGAAGCTGCAGCTCTTGATTCCATCCACAGGCATTGCCGTTTTCTTCCCATCTTAGAAACTCAACCCAATTCAAAATTCTCTTTTGCTTCTTTAGTGCCCTCAAACCCACACAGGACTTCATGTCCCACCACCCTACCCAAGAAACTTTTCAGGGCCCTGATCTGCCAACCTCACACAGGTAACTAAAGCACTTCAGCTGTGCACTATGGGAGGGATCTTTCCCTACCACTCCACACCCAGACCTTATGTGGGGTGAGGCATTTCCATGAGGATTCTTAACCTGATATTGAGGCAGTCTCCTCTGCCAGCACAGCCATCTCCTCGTCTCCTGTGTGTAACCCGAGTTCTCACCCCTGCTTTAATAGCAACCTCTGCATGAATATTTAACCAAGGACCTTAGCAGTGAGCTCCAGCTAACATGTGGCAAACAGATTTCCAGGACAATAGACCCTGCTAAAGTGATGATGCATAAAGAAACCTGGGAGGAAAGGGAAGGGTCACGCCTGGAGAGGTCGGGCAGTTTGCACACAGCTGCCCTATGCAGCCTGAGGAGGAGAAAAGGATCCAGGGCTGTGGCAGAGGTACAGCAGGAATGGCAGCACAGGAGAGCTCAAGTAGCCAAAATCTGCTTGGTCTGTAGCTGTGCTTGGGGTGGTTTAACCAACATCCCTGCAGGGAGATCAGTCCATCAGCGCTCAATGGCAGCCTGGTAGTTTTCCTGCTTCCTGCTTAGTTCTTGTATAGAGAGAAATAAAGAATAATTGTTTTTTATTCATTTTCTCTGATACAGTTCTGGTTATTTGCAGACATCTGCTGTATGCAATTTCTCAGTACATTTTACACAGGTAAGTCTGTGGTTCTGGGGTTCATTAATCATGAAATTGAGGATTAATTTCAGATTTAATTAGAGATTAATTTGGCAATTTCCATTCACCAGCAAAGTGAAAACCAACGGCGCAGTCAATAGAAAAAGTATTTCTGCTTTATTGAGTGGCCTGAGTATTAAAAATAATCTCTGCTGCTTTCTTCAGCCAAAAAGAGGCTCTGACCCCCACTCCCCAAGGACTCATTAACGATAAAGGGCCCAGATTACCAAATTAAATGAAATTACTTTGACCCAAGCGAGGACAACAGGTTAATTTTTGCATTAACCATAGCCGTGCTCATGCCTGAGCTGCTCTCCGTTCTTGTGCCCAGGGGGACAGCAAGAGGTGAAGGTCTCCACCAGTCTGTGCTGCTGAAATATTGGTTATCTCCCTGAGCTTCCCCTGCAAGAAGGATGAGCAGATTTACAGGGCAGGGCTGACGTGAACCGAAGCACCATTTGCACAGAATAATTTCCTTTTCAATTCCTGCACATCCAAGCCCTGGGACTGGCCAGGCTTCTCCTCTTCTTGCACAAAACTGAAGAGAAGGGCCACGAAATCTTTCAGGAAAATGCACGAGACTTTGCAGCAACCTCAGCAATGATGGTATGACTGCAGAGAGGCAGCAGTGGGCTCTGCCTGCAGTGCTCAGAGTGGCACAGCCATCCCATGGGCCGGGGGGGACGACAGGTTTCTCCCCAGTGCTCCTCGCTGCTGCTCAGCTCTGCAATGCATCGACGTTCATCAGGTGAACATGCGATTGCTTTGCATATTAATAATATCTTATTACATTTGTTCTTAAGAGTGGTATCAAGTTGAGGCAAGGAGGATTAATGGCACCTTAGTAATATTTACATATTTACATTATTAAAAAGCAATACATCTTTTAGACAGCCCCACGCATGGTGTAGAATTGCAGATGCTGCTCCTTCACCCGACGCAGCCCTGGTGGGTCCTGTCCTGTTTCTGTATCCCAGCTCATGCTCAGCGGGCACCAGAGGACCCCAGCACAGCCCCTACATACCTGAGCCATGGTCCCAGGGCAGAGCTTGTCTCCCTGACACCTCTGAGCCAACGATGCCCCAAGCAGCCATGAGGGGACACAGAGGGGACAAAGGGGATGGGCACTGCGTTGGGTCCCTGTCCAGAGACCAAAGCATGAAGCAAAGGGTTGTCCCACATTGCATCCCCAGGGAAAGGCTTCACAACTCAGCCAAAGGCTCCCAGTCACCTCCAGCATCCTAAACTTAATTAAAGCTGCCAGCATCTAATTAAACCACTTAATTAAGGGCCACATTGTCAGTAGGCAAAGATGGAACAGACTTAATTATTTTACACAATGACAAGAGAGAAAAAACCCACCTGAAATCCATGACATATCCAAGGTAGGCTGAGCATCCCCGGGGCTGTGGGCACAGTGTACCTTGGGGTATTCCATGGGCACAGTGCCACCCACCATGGCCATGTGTGTCCCTGCTCTGTCGGGTGCCACCATCATTCACCACAGCCAGTATCCCCTTACATTGCCACGCAACCCCCAGCACTGCCATTTGTCACCAGCACTGCTGTGCCACCCCACAGTGCCACCAGGCTGCAGCCAGGCTATAGGGACCTATCTCAAATTTCTCCAGAACAGGAAATATTCAATATGGGGGCTGCGTCCTGAACCCAAATCAATGCATGTGGGGCAGACTGTACCCCAAGCCTTTTGTGTGAAGCATTTCCTGCCCCTGCCTGCATCCCTCCCAGCAGCTGCTTTGTGTGATTTCAATCTTCCTTCTCCTGTCCCTGCTCAGTGCCCCCTCTCGGGTGATGTCACCCAGGTGATTCCAGGGCTGGCACTCTGCTGGGGAGATTGATGGCAACATCTCATCGATAAATCCATACAGACCTGAACCCTGTGATAAACGTGCAGGAGGTAAAGGCAACGGTTAATATCTTCAAAATAGGCCCCAGAGCCTTCGAATGCAGCCAGGGAGGGAAGCACCAGTGACCCTTGTTAATCTTTTTATTGGCTCAGGAGCTATTGGCACCTTTCGCTGGCCAGAAATTTGCAAGCCTTCAGGGAGCAATGATTTCACAGTCGGGGGCTCTGAGAGAGAGAAAAGAAATCCCTTTGCTCCTAAAATGGGACCATTCTTCCAGATGAAAATTGACATTTTTGTTTGAACTTCACGACCCCCAGTAATCACAGTAATGGCTGGGAGCTGGCCACGGCCAGGACGGATGGGCCAGTATGGATTGCTGGAAATGGGCCGGGAAGTGGGAATGGTGGGGGCTGCTGGCAGCCTGCTCAACACTCTGGGGTGCTTCTGACCTGATCTGTGGGGTCACATCTGAATTAGGTTTGATCTCAGTTACTGGCAAAGGCCTTGGGATGGCAGCTGCTGGGTGCTCCCATCCATCCATCCATCCATCCATCCATCCATCCATCCATCCATCCATCCATCCATCCATCCATCCCTCTTGCCCTTCCTTTCCAAGTGTGCTGCCCAGGTGTGCAACAACATTTGGGGGAGGCAGAAGGAGGGCAGTTGCCTTGCCCAGCAGATGCCCATTAAATGGGTGGGGTGGGTGGGAGCAGCAGCTGGGCAAAAGTGATGCAGAGCTTACAAAAGCAACTCTGGGGGAACTGCACTGTGCTTCTTTTTAGGGTGCTAAGAGGGGATGTATGAGGTGTCCCTGAGCAAGGTGGTATAGATTGGGGCAGAGAAATTGATGCTGTCCCCACTAAAAAGAGGGGTAACATCTGAGATATCAGGCACAAATGCTGGGATGGAAGTCACAGAGGATGGCAGCACTGTTCTTACCACCTGCATTGTGCAGCCAGGGCCAGGAATCAGCTGTAAGTAAGAATGCAAAAGGGTCTTTTTACTTTTTAAATACCTCATTTAGTTGGTTAATATTCCATGTTATTTCAGGCTGCTTTCTTTGCACATCTGTCACCCAAGCCCATACAGATGTTTTAGGATCCTTTAATCCTGACAAAGGACTTAACGTTAAGGAAAAATGGGTTACATAAAGATCCTTATCTCCTTAAGAAACAAAGCATGTTTGGGGCATATTGTGTACAAAATAAGACTAAAATAGAGGCAGAACATCCTGGGGCCACTTACCAGATGTGCAAGTTGGGTGACCTGGCTCTTGTCTGTCCCTGCTCCCTTTTTGGGTGATGGCATCTCCTGCTATGGGGTTGGCTCAGACTGCTGTTTTCTCCCACCTCATCTGCCTCCCTGCTTCCCAGCATTCAGTATTCTATCCCATGGAATTGACAAAGTTCTCACATTTGTGTGCCTCTCGTGATTGATCCAGCCCATGTAAATTACCAAAAGGAGTCGCAATCCTCTGGGGTCTGAGGCAGAATATCAAAGGAGCATGGGCTCATACTGCTTTAATTAAAACTTAGTTTAATTAAAAACCTTGAGAGCTTTATTAGACTCGGTAATTGATTTAATTTTCTTGTGGAATTCTATTACAACACACTTCCAGCATGCTGGCTTTGGGATCCTGGCTGTAAGACCATCCTCCATCCCGGACAGCCCCAGCATCCCTGGGCTGCAGGGAGGTGCTGAGGCATTTCTGCCCAGGACACAGGGAATCAAACTGGAAAAAAGAAAAAAAGAAAAAAAATGGAGAAAGAAATGGCACCAGGTGATTTTCTGTTCTATATTTATTTCATAACATCCAGAATTAATAAGATACAGGAGTTAAAGGAACCATGGCAACTGAATGCAGAAAGGGCTGTCCTTGTAAATAAATGAATTCATAAATAACTCACAAGTGCTGATATAAAAAGTCATGGGAATCTAATGCAATGTTAATGCAATTCAAGCCTTCCCTTTTTTGCAAGCTGTATTATAATACAAGGTGCACCATGCTCTGCTCTGTGCTACAAGTGTCATTCTTAAGATAATAGAAGTTGCTAATTGTACCGGGAGCTGGGCTGTGATTGATGAGGGCTTTGGGTTTTTGTCTCCTCCATGTTCTCGCTGGCAAAACATTGCACTGTGAAGTTGAGGGCTGCTCTGCCTGTGATGAACTTGGGGCTGCTGGGGAGAACAGAGGTGAATCATGGGTCCCTTCCCAGCCCCACAGAGCTGGCAGCAGCCTTGGGCAGAGTGCTGCCTCCTGGCAGTGGCTGCTGATGGGGTCGCTTGGCTCGCTGGTGCCAACGCTCTTGAAAAAAGCAAGGCTGAAAAATGGCCAAATGTGCCCATTGAGTGTCTGTTACTGTTGCATTTTTTGGAAACAATGCTTACAGCTCTTATTTCTGTACTCTCTGCATTGATAAAATGATTTTCCCTTTGGAGGTAAGTGCAACTTGTCACGGAGATCCACGTTTCCCCGGTCTGGGGGTAAATAAAAGGAGAGAGCTGTGCTCTGACATACAGAGGAATCTGCCTTAGACCATTGCAGTGGTTTTTGTGTTTGAAAAGACGCTGCTTTTAAATGTGGGTTTGTTTGAAGATGATCTGATAAATCCTTTATTACTCTTTATTACTCTTTATTATTATTTGTAAGGCTGATACAAATTACACCAGGCTTGCTAGTGTAATGATTCTGGAAAGCCCTTACCTCCTTCACAGCACACAGCCCAAACAGAAGCGATGTCCAACAGACTCCTACAAGGCACGAAGCTCCAGGAGCTTCTCCCACCCACCAGCAAGGCGCTGCTCCGCACTGAGCACACATTCTCCCTGGGACGGACGGTGCCGAATCCTCAGCGGACACAAAGTTGGTCCCGATCCCTGTGATCGTGGGAGGGGGGAAAGGAGCTCAGAGCCGCCGCAACGCCGGGCCAGCAGCTCCGCCTGGCGGGGCGCGACCGCAGCGCAGTGCCAAACCCTGGGACGGCGGGGATGCGGGATGAGAGGCGAGCTGGAGGCTTAACCTGCTGGTCTGAGAAATGCAATAAGGGAAAGAGGAAAGATGGAGAGGAAAATTTGCATCGATGCCTTCCACGCACCCCAGTGCAAAGGAGGAATTCTGACATAGCGAACCCCTTGGTGCTGAGGGTGATGCCATGGTGGCTTTGGGCACTGAGTGATGCTCTGTAAGTGGGCAGAAGAAATGGTAGCAAAGCTGCTTTTTGTGAATCTCAGAAAAATGAATGCTGTCTCTAAACTTGGCACTTAGCTGATGTGCAGTGGATGGTGGCACTGATTCCCAGCAGAGGGCTGAGGGTGTGGGGGGAGCTTGGGGAAACACAGCTTGGGCAAATGGAAATCTGTCCCTGCTCAATCTCTCTTCACCTGTCCCACATGCCTGCTCTTTCCCAGAAATGAACAGGAGACAGTAAGGATGCTTCTCCATGAGAGCTTTATGCATGCTGGGCTGTTTCTGACATCAGCCAGCTCAGAGCTACCCGGTGTGATGCAGCAACAAGCGCTGGCAGGAGTCCTGTCCACAGCAAAGCAGCTAGCTCCATTTTCATTTGTTTTAGAGACAGCTTCTCCCCCTCCATATGTGAGCAGCTGGCTCCTGCTGTGACTCCGGCATCTTAAACAACCACTGCTTCACCTCCTGAAGTGCAGGGCAGTGCTCCATCCCTCTGCTCACAGCTGCTGGAGCTCAAAGAGCCCCATGAGCCAATGTGGGCACAGCCCCACTGACTTGCAGGGCCCTGGAGCTGATACAGCACCGCTGCAGGAGTGGGAATTAGTTCTGCTTTCTGCTACGTGGAATTTTATTTGATTAGTCTAATCTATTGCATTATTATTTACCACATGCAAACCTCTTCAAACTGATTAAAGCTGACATTTAAGCTAAGAGATGAAAACTGGAAAGGAGTAATAAGGAAAAATTATTTTGCAAGCTTTTGCAGCGTAGATTTGTTGGGAGATCGATTACATTTAAAATTTAAGGTTGAGACTTGACCCTAAATCTCCTTCAAGGAAAAGGAAAGAATTAATTCCTCAATTTGTTATATTTCAGCTCTACAGAGTGCTTCAGCAAAACCTACAGGAGTTTGTACAGGTGCTGCTGGTTTGGAATGGTGATTTTAGATATGAGAGGTAACCAGCAATGAATGGTAGCTTGTGAAATCTCACATCAACATGTTATTGTCTTTAAGATCTGGAATTCTGGCTACAAGACCTTCCTAAGGCTGCAGAGTCACGTGCAAGCAGTTGTTTCTGGGTCGCTGAAGGAAAACTGTGAGCTGTATACTGGATCTATTTTCAGCACACACAGGTTAGTATCCACTTATTTCTGCTGCTGACCAAATGGTATAAGAGCTGTACTTTCATACAGCACAACCTCTGTTTCAAATAAAAGGTGACAAAATTAAGCTGTCCTCTGTGAAGTACATTTTGCAGAGAAGGGGTGGGGGAAGAGGGAGAGAAAGAGCATTGCAATGAGTTTATTCCCACAGTCACTATATGGACGTTGTTATGTTTTGTAAAACAGATGTAGAAAGGTAATGGACCAGATAGGGATTTTTGGATTTGATTTTTGGAGATCCAGGTACTTCACAGGGTTGAATACTTCACAGCCTCCTTCATGTTAACCTGTAAAAGAACCTCTCCATAAAACCTTGCTTATGCTTGCAAAAATCAGATGTTTAGCCCTCCACAAGTAATAGTATTGAAAGCTTTTCCTAGACAGAGGTCGGATCCATTTTATTGTAAGAGCAGCTTCATTCTAGGTGCAAAAGGACGGAGCTAAAGGACATCTCAGCACGACGAGGCTGTTACTCCAGCTCCAGGAGTGCATTGGAGCTGAAGAGCAGGATGGGAAGCTGCAGCCTTGGCCCTGTGTTCAGAGCTAAAAAGAGCTAAAGGTCTCATTCACAAACTGAGCAGAAAAAGTGGAGCAAATGCCTGCATTGAAATGTTTCACTTTTAAATTCATCCCAGGTTGGAAGGAGAATGACTCCATGGGCGAACACTGATTTGTTCAGAAAAGAGCCATCTATGAGACGTGTTTTTTGTTTTTACTGGTAAAAAAAAAAATCCACCCCAGAAAAATGGGAGTAAGACATTTCCATTGCAAAATAACTGCGACAACTCAGCTGCTACTACACCTTGCCCCCAGCCTAGCAAGCACTTCTTGCACTCTTGTCTCAGCACACGCTGCAGTGGCGGCTCTTCATGTGCAGCACCATGGCAATTTATCATTACCCGCTCTCCAAATTATTCTAGTGTTGATTAAATTAGTAAATGCAATCACAATCTGAAGCAAGTTAATTGAGAGAATTTATTTGGTCCTGACAGTTTTATGCATGTTTGATTAAGTATTATAAGGTTTGTTTTTGATTTTGCATAATTTAACTTTAAATCCTGAGCTGGGGGAGGGGGGAGGGAGCATCAACTATTAATGACCAAAATAAACTCTTTTAGGATGCATGTATTTGTGATTTATTTCTGAACGCAATACCTTCCAGATTTTTGTTGTTCTGTTGCCAAAGTGACAAATATGTTTAAAGCAATGTTTTGAGCAGTTTGGTTCACGCTATAAATCTCATGAAATGTATACAATTCATTAAAAGTTTTGAAAGAAGTACAAGTTAGCATTTATATTGCAACAAGTGACATATAAATGTGTATGTTTGTCTTTGGAGCGTGCCATAAAATATATCAGCAGCAGCTAGCCACTGTGACTGGTACTAATGGCCCGCTCTCGGCGCTGATGATAAGTTTCATCACAAATCTTCAGTGCTGTCAACACAAAACTGTTCAATCAACAGGAATATGAGTTGTGTCTTTAGTAAAATTAGCACAGGAAAGAAATACAACCCAGAGCCCTGCTGGAGTGCTGGGGGCGGGTTCTCTTTGGGCTGAAGCACAGACTTTTACCTCTTTGAATGTCAAAGCTTCAATTCATGCCTGCCCCAAGGACTGCGTATTTTTTATGAAGACATGTATTCATTTAAGCAGGTCAACGTATTTCAGGCTGAAAACTGAGTACTGCTGCCTTGCTTTTTGTCATCCTGACCTAAGAAATGAAAAGGGGTGGTCTTGGCACTGACGCTGTGGTGTCACCCCCTGTGCACATATGCTGGGGTTGTGCTGTGCAGGTGTCTGAGTGCTGCTGGAGGCCATGGAAGACTTTGTCTGCCTGGGGGGATTCCTGCAGGATGCCAAGGCCCCCTGTTTGCAGTACTTGCATTCAGCAGCGTTCTCTTCCTCATCCCCATCTTTCTCCAAGCCAGTAAGACCAAAGTACCCTCATAGTGCTGTTGCCTGGGCTGTAATTCCCATCTCTGGCTCCCTGTTACAGGCGATGATGGAGGAAAATAAATGAAACGTGGCTCTCACGCTAATCTCAGTCACCAAACAGATGTTCCCATTTCATGCTATTGGGAAAACGCATCAGCTTCGCACCTCCCCTTCTCCCTCCCACCAGAAGGTATGTGGGAGAGCAGAAAGGGCAATTTGTTAGGATGTAATTCTCCCTTGATGTTCATCCCGTGCCTCCGGGCCTCTCATTGTGTTTGCAGAACAAAAATGCTCTGGGGGAGCAGGGGGAGCACATTGCAGGCAGTTGGTGTGCAAGGAGGGATTTGGCCGGGTGCCTTCAACCGCCTGAGCCGTGCAGCATGTCTTGTTATTGGCAGATGGCTTGAGTTATTATTATTTAATGTTTTTCCACTGTGGTAATGCCTAGAGAGCAAGCGGGGCAGGGGGCCAATAAAACAAAAGTTTTGTATTCTTTCCATTACAGAAAGTAATCCCTAATTAAATCTAAGAGGAAACACCAGGGAGAACGCTTCTGTCTCGTTGTGTTGGTGCTGAAACGGGCTCCTCCTGTTTGTGTTTAAGGAACTTTCGGTGCATTTTCGGCCACCCAGAAGCCCTTGTTGTGGTGCACATTGCGCGCTGGGATCTCACGCGTGAGCCAAGCCACAAAGCCTCGCTCTGGGCCCTGAAAGGTGACTTTGAGAAACCTCGTCCCCGTTCTTATTGCAGGTTATTTATTATCACCGATGTGCAATCCCGAGATTTCCGTAGCGCGGCTGTTCCTGCACCTCGTGGACTCAGCACAGCCCACAGCCGGGTGAGCCGCGATACGTGAGCGGTCCGGGCCGAGCTGCCCTGCGAAGCACCGCCCGGCGAGCGCTGAAGGCCGGCTTCGCCTTGACGAGCGGCTTTTGTCACTTCGCCTCGCTCAGCAAGGCGGGCCCGCCGCCTCCGAGCGGCTCCACGAGGCGCCGCGGGCCCTACGGACGGCAGGACGGGGCTGGCAGCTCCGTACCGACACGGGCAGCCGGACCCGCCGCGCTCTCCCCGCCCCGAGGCCCGGCGGTGCCGCCCCGCGCCCTGAGGCCCCCCCCCTCCACCGCCCTCACGTTGCCCGGGCAACGCGGCGCCCTCCCGCTTCCGGCGGCCGTGGCGCGGTGTGATGACGCAATCGCCGCGCGCCGTCCCGGCCGCTCCCTTCCCGCCGCCGTCGCCGCCGCCACCGGCCGGAACCGGAGCGCCGCCGCTCCCCGCACATGCGCGGTGCGGCGCCCGTCCGTAGGCCCGGGCCTTCCTTCAGCCCGGGCCCGGGACGCCAGGCCTCGGCGGCTGCCGCCCGCCGAAAGACCATGGGCAGGACGGTGAGCGCGGGGCGGCGCCCCGGGGCGGGGGAGGCGGCGGGCAGGGCCTCGCTCCGGGCCTCGCTCCGCCGCTGCGGCCGCTGCCGTCCGCCGAGGCCTCGCCGCGCTCTGAGGCCGGGCCCGGGGGCCGAGGGAGGCCCGGGCGGCGGCCCGTGCCCCGGTGCGGCGGGCTGGGGGCTCGGAGCGCGGCCCCTTCCCGAGCGGCGCGGGCTGGGCGCGATGGAGGAGGAGTTTGGGTTTCTCCTCCTTCTGGCGCTCCTCGGTCGGCGCTCACCTTTATTTGTCATTGGCCCTCACCTTGCTGGGAGCCCTCGGAGGGAGGGGGGCTGAAGCTGAAGCCCACCGGGCGGCGGCGCTTCGGCATCCTGCGTTGTCGGGGTGACGGCGGCACGGCTGGGCCGAGAGCTGCGTGCCCGGCCTCGCGGTGCTGTGCCTTCAGCAGGCCCGGGAGACGGGTGCCGAGCCGTCTGGATGCATCGCTTCCGCATGGATTGGGCCTGCTTCTGTGTATCCTGCTTCTGTATGCTGGCAGTGTGTGTGCACTGTGTTGTTTCATACCGGAGCAGCTTCTGTGACAAAGGAAATGACAGGCCAGAGCTCGTTACCTGTAATGCTGCCCTAATTCTCCTATCCCTGTCTGTGCTTCTGGCTCTGCGTACAACTAGGTGATTCTTTCAGCATGTATCAGTGAGCTGTGCTGCGTGGTTTACTGAGCATGTGAGCCTTCTTAAAATCTTAATGGGTTTAAACATATCTGGGGAGAAGCCTCGTAGTTCTGAGCTTCCTAACGCTCAAAATGAGCACACTGAAAACTAATCTCTCCTTTTATCTTTTAGATCAATCAATGTGTAGAATGTTGTGAGTCTGTGAAGCACCTTAGCGATTTCTTTTACTCTTCCTAGGAGGCCAGGTGTCACAGGAGAACTTCACTCTTTTGTTACAAGAATTAAGTGGCACCCAGAAACGGCAGCGAACTTCCGACCTTCTGCTGGGTGGATGACAGCATCATTTACAATGTAATGTTTCTGAAAGTTTCTTCTTTGTGCAACGTCCCTCTGCTTTTGGCTGTGACAGTGTTAGTATTTGGTATTTATCTGAGGACACGAACCTGATGGAGTTTGTTTGTTTGTTTATGTGGTGGGCACAGTAAATGAGAGTGAGTTGCTGCTGTTCGGAAGGCCTGAGTGGCTGCAGCTGAGCTGTTTGAGGTCTCTTGGATTCACCTGTTGAAAGGTTTTATCAGAGATAACCAAAACTCCTCTTCTAAAACAGAAACCAGACATGGAGTCAGTGTGCTCAGCCCCAGAGCAAACTGTTGCTTATGCAAGGGAGGTTAGTTCTCTGTTACACAGGTGTGGTCTTGCTGAGAGCTCTTCTTGTGTTTGTGCAGTTCAGTTCCATGCTCCAGGCACAAAAACCTTTTGTTTTTTGAAGCAATGTCAGATTAGCATCTATCCACTTCATGTGCCTTGCAAAATACCTTCTTGTAACGCACTTCTGAGCTATTCAGCATTTCCTTTTTACAGGCAGGAAATTATAGCAGAGAGGCACTTAAAACTACAAGAATATCTTTGATATTTGAGAACAAACCTTAATTTCCAAAATTCTTTATTCATACACTGATTCACTTTCTTCTTTATCAGTGCAATTCATACAGAGTCAACAGATTTCTGCATCAAAGGGAAAGGAATTGGAACCTGGGGCCAGTAAATATTACTGAAGTAACTTCGAAGTTACTCTGATTTTAATTTTAACAGTCATAGGATCTCATGTTCAACAAGAGTCTGAATGCCTGGGCGTGTGAGGAGGCTGGGAAGTCCCTGTTGTTTTCTAGTATGATCTGATGCATGCATTGTTATTTCATAATTCCCGGAATTTGGAACACCGTGAGCCTGGGGTGAAGCAGAGAGCAGCTAATGGGCTGCTGCTCATCACTCTGATAACAGCAGTGCGTGAAGGATGTTGAGATTATAAGTCCTAAACACTCCACAAGATTGAGATATTTATCTCTGCAGGTCACAAAAGGAGAAATAAACTGTTTGCTATCTTTGAAATGCTGCCTTGCCATTGGATGCAATGACAGTGAGACCACAGGGCTCATCTAAGCAGGGGGAGGTACATCCTGTGGAGTGTGAAAAACATGATTGCTTCATTGTTCTTGTGAGACCTTCCATTATTTTCAGTTTATTTGATGAAGCTTTGCCAGGTTCTGACGTGAGCAGAGATCTGTGATCAGCACCGTGCCTGGGCTGTAAAATTCACTTGAAAAAGCATTTGGAGAGCTCTTTGTTAAGGCAAAACAACTGCAAAGATCCAAACACATGCATTAATATGACTTTTTGCATGGGTGGATTGTTGTGGGGTTGCTAATTGTTGATTAACAGCCTGTGAATTAGCCACGATAATCCCTGAATGAAGCTTTCCTCTTTCCTTTACTAGCACTGTAAAACTTGTAACAAGTTGTAACTTGTGCTGCCCGCTACTCATTGCATTGCTTCTGGGGATCTGACTTGCTGATGGTGGAAACGATTGTATTTCTGCACGTTGGCCTGGGTAAACTGTAGGCAGAGTTGTATCTAACTGCCAAACTGGGGAGTGCCTGCCCTGCTGCGTGTCCTCCTGCTGGGGCTGCTTAAACGTGTCTTCCTTCTCTGCCTTCCTGCAGGTCTCTTCCATCCTGGCAACTCAGCAAACACTTAGCGTTCCCAGGCTGCTGGAGCTGTTCCATGTTAATGGATGACATTTGATATGTGCCCTGTAAGTCCTGCACTGGGACTCGGTGACCGGTGGGGTGCCTGATGCCTGTAATCCCCATCCCCCGCCGGGTCCGTTCGTTCCACGGCCCCCACACGACCTGCCTGCACTCAGCCTGCGGCCCGGTGCGGACCACGCACTTGGTGCGTACCAAGTACAACAACTTTGACATCTATCTCAAATCCCGATGGATGTACGGATTCATTCGTTTCCTGCTGTACTTCAGCTGCAGCCTGTTTACCTCCATCCTCTGGGTGGCACTCTCTATCTTGTTTTGCCTTCAGTACCTTGGCATCCGGATCTTTCTGCGTTTCCAGTACAAACTCTCCATCATCCTCCTCTTACTGGGGCGAAGGCGAGTGGACTTCAGCCTCATGAATGAACTGCTCATCTATGGAATTCATGTGACCATGCTGCTAGTGGGGGGGCTGGGATGGTGCTTCATGGTATTTGTGGATATGTAAATAAAAACAAGCGCATGTGGGCTAAGAAGGTGACTTTTCTTCCACCCCTGAATTTGTCAATATCCCCTTTTCTTTTTTTTTATATAAATTAATTTATTTATCAGTGCTACTTCTTATTGATAAATTAATGTACTTGTCTCTGGAATTTGTATTATTTTTTTTTGTAAGGGTTAAGGTGCCATCTTGATGATCAAAGTGCAACACTTGATTGGGTGTTCATTCTTTGCATAGTGCAAGTTAATATCAATTTCTTTTAGTCCATAGGAGCCTGCCTTGCTGCTGTTCTGGTATTCCTGTGGGCATGGAAAAGGCAGCGCATTTTCTGGAGCACAGAATCCAGAAAACCTTGTGCCCCACATTCTGAGAAAAAAGTCTTTACCCTTTTTCTGAAAACATTCCTTCATATCTCAGGCATGTAATATGTATTCTACCAGACCAGTGCTATCCTTTCTCTATGTAGTTTGCATTTTGCATATTCCCAACTAAGAATATGGGGCCAAATTCAACAGACTGTTGTGCTTTTGGTTTTGTTGTGTTTTTTTTTTTTAATATTATTTTTTAGATTATGCAAGGCTTGCATTCAACCCCCTGTATCGTGTTATTCACTTTAATGTGATTATATAGCTTTGAATGGTTTTGTCCTTTTCAGGCAATTAATGCCGAGTAATTGAGTCTTACCCCAGTAGAACAAACCCACTGGAGTGATGGGAGCAGTGTTCAGTGTCATGTGCTCTTGAGGATTCCCAGTCATAGCAAAATTGTTACCATTTTTTGCAGTGATTATGGAAACCCATTGCAATGGTTTAGATGTTGGTGTTTGGTTCCACTCTTCCCTGAATTGATTAGATCCAGTTTTCTCATGGAAGCACTTCTGTCTTATGGACAGCGAGGAGATGAGGCTGTCAGACCTGGGAGAACTTGAGGGCACAATCTGAAGGGGCAGTGGTTGTTCCCCACAGTTACAGAGAGCCCTCTCTCCTATCTTTGCTGCAATGTGAGTGGTGTCACTGGGCAACTTTCCTCACAGCTGAAGAAGAAAATTAAGCACTAAGCTTAGTTTTACTGGTCTGTTGTGAAGATCTTGGATTGTTCCTTTGCAGGCAGTTAAGCAGACCAGATCTTGGCCTAAGTTTTATTTTGATCCTTTCCCCTCTCTCCACTGAAATCACTGGAGGCAATGAAATAAGCAAGATTGGAAACATGTGGCCATTCCCTGGTTGTCTTTAGTTTGAGATGCGAGAGAATTGAGAGCAAAGTCAGTGAGCACAGAGGAGAGAACACTCAGTGCTTCAGCCTGTGAGTATTTGTGTGCATATTGAAGCCTTTCACTCACATACTCTGATTTGTAGCTGTACTGATGCAAAATAGGAAAGCTTCTGTCTGAAGCTAAAGCAAAACCAGAAATTATCTCATTATCAACCATTACAATAATGATGTAATATAATGCAAACTGGACACATAGAGCTGAATAAATAATGGACAATGGTGGTTGTGGACTTTAGATTAGCCTTGTGGGAACCAAAGGCTATTTCTGCAAGAAAGGCTTGGTATAATGTATGCCACAGACTGCAGTTTCTGGTAGTTTTCTCGTAACTGTGGAGCTCCCCAGAGCTCTGTTCTGGGAGCATACTGTGGTCCACGGGGCCTTGATGTCCTGCAGGTCCCAGCTGCAGCCTGCCTGCAGGTAGGGGCAGTTCCCAGTAATTCCCAGCCCAGTACAGCTGTCTGTCTGGGGTGCTGCAGTTCAGGTTGTGTGGACTGTGCAGCTTTGTGCTGGAGAATTTCTGCAGGAAACGTGAGTTGCAGCTGCCAGCAAACAGCCTGCTGTGTGCTAAGAGGCACCCAGCAGCCCCCTGGTGCCAGATCCTGCGCACTTGGTAGATGGAGCAGCACAGACACAGGCTGAAGGTGTGGTGGTAGGACCTTGTTCTACCTCGAGTGACTTGAATGGGTGAAAGGAGGATTTGTGCTGCAGTGCTCCTCACCCAGCCTGTTCTGGCTGCTGCCTGCTCCTGCAGCAGTGTCCAACCAACAGGCTCTGTTGCACCTCAGTGCTTTGTTGTGCAGCCTGCCCATCTGCCCTCTGTGTTCAGTTTCTACAGTACACACGAAGGAAAAAGTAGGTATTCTCATCAACTCACCACAAAGTAGTGTTTGCCAACTCTCCAGATGTTTGCCAAGAGAGCTTGGGGATAGGTTGCCTACAAGACAGAGGATTTCCCCATTCTTTCTTTACAAGCATAGCCTAATGTCTAGTCAGATTGCCCCAAATCACGAGTGCAATTGCCCACGAAAGTAGACAACTTGAAGATTAAATAATTGAGGAGACCTCGGAGGCAGTGTGAAGTTGGAAATACTCTCAGTCTTGGCTGTTAGCAGTGGTCAGACACCAAGCAGTGCTCGGGCAGTTGGATGCTCCCGGCCTGGTGGGGGAAGTGAGGTCCCTTTGAAGTCATGCTGGCAAGGAAGAGGAATTAATTTTCAAATGATTTGTTTTACGATGCAATAATTTGAACATTTTAGATCTCTGTGAGTGGAGCAGCATTTGGCACCTTTACTGCACTTCTTCAGAGCATTTTCCAACTAGAGCTAATTAAACCTCACAGCATCCCCAGGAGATCGCAGAATAAGTAAGATCTTGGTAATGATTCAGAATTTAAATTTGGTGTTTTTGAGGGTTGTGTTTTTTTTTTTTTTTTAAGCTTTCAGGACTACATTGCCAAAATATATTTTCTGAAGCAGTTGAGATTCTGTGAGTTGCTTACCAGCACAAAGTGCAGCAGGGCAGGAGGAGTGCTAAGCACGTGCGAGTAACGGTAAGCAGAGGCCAGAGATGTGGCTGCTGGCAGCACTGGGTGGTTGCTATGGAGTATCATTTTTTTAATTGTTTTTTTAAATTATTTTCCCCATTTATTTCGACTGAAAAACTTGGCATTTTTAATAAGGGAGGTGGGAACAACTTGCTGGAATACAACAAATAAGGAAACAGGGGCAGGAGGTTGGCTTTTTGTTTTTCAAGAGCCCAACAAGTGGCCAATACTGTCACTTGCCAGAAACATCCTGTGAAGTGGGGACCTGCAAACTGTGCCCCACTGGGAACCTTTATGTTTGGGAATTTTTTTGCTCTTTCCAAAAGTCGATGCTGGAAGGGGCAGATCCGGCTCTGAAGTACGTTGCCTTCCTGTCTTGCTGTCTGGCTGTAACTTTAAAATCTTCTGAAATGTTCCTTTTGGCATTCCTTCACACTGATTCCATCCTGGATGATGAGAGCAGCTAGTTTGTTCCCTTTCATGTGGTTGGGTTTGTTTGTTTTCTTGCCACGTTTGGACTTTAAATGTTGCTAAAAATGGGGTTAAGAGTAATGAGGAAAAAACCTAGAAACATGGATTAGGGGGAGCACGTCCCCCAGACATGTGCCAGCTTTGCCCTGCCCCTTTGCAGCCCCCTGGGCACCCCTGCCCACCCGGAGCCACCAGGTGCCAGCTGTCCATCTGCACTGTGTGGGCTGATAGTGCTTTGCAGGGGCAAGGTGGCTTGACCTGTTAGCCCACTGAAGTGCTGGAGTTTCACCTCGTTAACTCTTCAGAACTTGCCAACAGCTGGTGTTTGGGGCGCTGCTAAATCCTGTATGAAATGTGCCACCTACATTAAACGTATCTTTTTTATACCATGTTGATGCATTGATTGTTTATGAAGAAAAAGCAGCAATTCAGTCCCGTGATGCTGGTTTCATTCTGATGTGGGGGCAGCCTGGGTCCTCCTCTCTCAAAAAGGCACTGAGCTTTTGCCGTAAGGCCTTGCCCAACTAGCAGCTCACTGTGATTCCTCCCAGGGCTCTCATTAGTTGCTGGTGTTGTTTCTTTCCCTCTGGGGCTGTAGGAGACAGCATCTATTACCAGGCACAGAGAGAAGCGTGGCACGTTTACTTCCAGGAATGGTTTGTCTGTTCTGGAGGCTCTAGCACACGCAGATAGCACGCTGTTCTGGGGAAGAGTTGCTGGAAAATATGAAGCCTTGTTAACTTTCCATGATTGTATTTAGCCAAACAAGGTTTCCATAGCTCCTGGACAGCTCTGCTGCCTGGGGAAAAAAAAAAAAAAAAAAAAAAGAAAAAAAAAACCCTCTCATTTCTTCACCTGCCAACTCTCTGCGCTAATTTTGTCTTCCCGCTTCAAAGCACTCATCGTGCCCAGAAAATGTCACTTCAAAGCAAAGTTCTGTCCACTAATGAGTCGGTGAAAAGTGTTTGGTTTAAGATGCTGGGCAGTTCTCAGTGCTGTGCTGAGTGCTGCTCTGAGCTGAGGGTCTTCAGGGCCCCACGTCCCCCATTGCGCTGCAGTGCTGTGGGATGGAGCTGTGGGGGCTGCAGTAAATCAGCCCCCAATGCCTGCAAGGGCCAACGTTCCCTCACGTGGAAAATGCTGTGTGTAACACCCAGAGACAAATACCAAAGTCCTTAGCTGGTTCCTCTGTGAGAACAAAATCAGCCTCCCCTTGGCCCTGCTGAGAGTTCTGCCTGAGTAAGGACGTGGGGATTATGCATGCTAATTAAATGAACCACCCATCCCTCTGCATCCTGCTCTCCGCTGGGAATTCCCCTCTGAGCTGCTTGCTCCCCCTGAGGAAAGGAGCTGCATGAAAAATCTCCCAGATGGTGAATCCGTTAGAGAAAATCGCAATCTGTTTGGGGCTGCTTCAAACAAAAAAGAGCACCGGAGACGCGGAGGAATAAATTTGCTGTTGCAAACCATTTGCTCAGTAATGGGGAAAATTTAGATGGGCAAAGATATTTTTTTTTCCAGAAGACTGTTATCTTCTTTTGCCTCCAAAACTGAGCAATGGTTTACAGCATAAATTGCAGTGTTGTATATCAGGAAAGCTGCCATTGCTTTGCTGCAGCCCTGGATCCACTCGTGCCTGTTCTCTGCAGGAAGGAGCTCAAGGGAAGCAGCAGCACTCGGTCACATCCCAGGTGTTGGTAGGGCCCAGGGCACAGAGCTCTGTTCTGTCCCTGCCTGGAAGCAT